TTGTCGTAAACTTTTCACATTTTCATCTTCTTCTCAAGAACCACTGGGCCAATTTTAACCAAACTTGCCACAAAGTATCCTTAGGTGAAGGGGATTCCAGTTTGTTCAAATGAAGAGCCACATCCTCTTCCAAGGGGAGATAATAATGAATTAGTGAAAAATTAATGGCATTTTTAAAAAATCTTCTCCTCAAGAACCACTGGGCCAAGAAAGGTAAAACTCATATGGGAGCATCCTCAGGTAGTGTAGATTCAAATTTGTTCAAATCATGACCCCCGGGAGTAGGGTGGGGCCAAAATGGCTGATCAAAGTTTTACATAGGAGTACCGGGTATATAGGGAAATCTTTTAAAATCGTCTTCTCAAGTACTTCAAAGCCATGATTAGTTAAATTTATATGGAATCATCTTCATGTAGTGTAGATTGAAGTTTGTTCAAATCATAACCCCCAGGGATTGGGTGTGGTTGCAATTGGGGATCCAAGTTTTAATTAAAATATATTTTTAAAAAATCTCCATCTCAAGAATAGCAAAGACATGATTAGTGAAAGTAGTATTTATATGGAAGTATTTTCGGGTAGTGTAGAAAAATAAAGCCAATTTAATGGGAAAATCCCAAGAAAAGAAAAGCTTTGTTTAGTCATATTGATATGTAAGCCACCTCATGCATTGAAGATTTAAATTATTCAAATCATGGCCCTTTGGGGTAGGGACGGAAACAATGGGGAATCAAATTCAAATTATTATGAAGTTATATATAGGAAGAAAATTAAAAAAAAATCTTTTAATTAAGAAAAGCAAAGCTATATGCTGTATTAATATGAAGGCATTCTCAAGTAGTATTAAAATTCAAGCCCCCACCCCGACCCCCACCCCCCTTCAGTAAACTTTTCAGTTGTGATCTGATTTGTGCTTTTTCCTAGCCGATTTGCTCAGGTGAGCGATGTGGTCCCTGGGCCTCTTGTTGCCACTGTTCGTCTATCTGTTCTTCCTCTATATCACCGCCTTATAATACTAGTACATGTATATGGAAACTGTTTGTTAGCCTAAATCTAAAATCTTGCTAGGTAGTTTGCCAGTGTCAAATCTTTTCCTGTTGTATTTGGGTACTGTTTTTATATCAGCTTAAGTTTAAAATGTCTGCAGGAACTACGTCGTATCATTGCTTATATCTGCGCTTCGTCTTACTCTCACATCCTGAAGAGATCGTTTCCATTAACCATTTATAATAATTTGGTTTATTTAATTAATTCTTGTCTATTCCTCCATTTGATACCCATTTTAGCTTGTGTTCTAGTATTTCTGTTTGTTGGAATAAAGTTCCACCAAGCTATTACCAATTTGTTGTTACTACAAAACTCTGCCCGATGTTCACCATTCTTATACATTGTACATGTACCACAGTCATCATAATTTTCCCATGGCTCTTTTATACCCGGTGTTGTCTTGGCCTACTTTTGCATTAAAAACTTCCACGATGGTAGTTACATAGTGCTTTGGAATATTTTCTAGCTCAGTCTGTGGTGCATCATAGAAGTCGATGTCTGCCTCATTTGTAGGAGAGTAGACTTGTATGATAGATGTTTTCGTAGGTTTCGTGTTGAGTCTTGCTCTTATCATTCTTTCACGAGGACCTGACTTCTGTGCACTTTACTCAGAATAATTGCTATCCCGGCCCTCATGATGTCTACAAGCTTTCCTGCCTGAGTCTGATTGCTTCACAAACATTTGTCATGTTCTTCCCAAAATCCGTCCATTTGCATTCACTTGCTCCCATTATGTGTAGTTTGCTGTTCTTCATCTCTCTTACCACTTGAACCTGCTTTCCTGCCTCGTATATGGTAGAAATATTCCAGAAAGCGATGGTTAGTTGGTTCTCTTGCTCAGTATACACTTCACACTACCAGCTTCCGTTTGACTTTCATTGGTTTTATTCATGTATGCAGATTGCTGCTGGTATGGTGATGCCTCGAGAAAAGATGAAATATCCTGGCACTCGTATTCGTAATCGAGCAGATTTCACGAGGAGGGGTTATGTTCTTGCTCAACCTCGGAGCTGAAGAACCAGGGATTTGTAATCAAGGTTGTCTTCCTCAGCTGATGAAGCCATTCTTTCCAGATTTTTATTCGAGTTTCCTCTCTTAATTATTTTGCCTGGGTTTTTTCCTCTTCGGTTGATTGTGAATTTCCTAAGCCATCGTCAAAGCAGTGAAACTATTTATCTATAGCTGTGAACTACGTTTGCAGGTAGAAGGACATATCCAATCACCGTTGGACAGTGCATACCGTGCATCTAGGGGCCTAGTTTCCTCCAAGACTTTGCGGTTCTGCGTGGGGTCCTAAGGCACCCAATAACCATCTGCAGCCTTGGAGGGGACCCTATCTGGGGAGTCCCATATATCATTACGGGCCACATAGGTCTAACTGTGGAGAAGCTTTAGATACTAAGCATTGAACAATTACAAATTTTGCTTACTCTTTCGCAGCGAACTGCTAGCCAGGAACAGAGCTGAAAGCGAGAGTGACAAGCTCAGAAAGACACACACAGTACGCACATTTAGCATGATTTGCAATGTATTATCCATTAGGTCATCTTTAAAATAAGGTTTGTTTGTCCTCTCCCCCACTCAGAGTAAAATTATTGGGTCGGTAGGTATAGGTGTAAAAAGTCTTTTTTCCAGAAAAATGTTAACATATTTGTTGACGGGATATGAACAATAAAGAGAAAAAACAGCATGTCCTGCAATGTAAAAAATAAGAAGCTTTGAGTCCGGCCATTTTAGTCAGTCATTCGGGAGGGCAACCAAACAATTTTTTAAAGATGGCCTAACATCGATTTCTTTCTCTTCTTAAAACGAAATTATGAATTATGCAGTAAGTTAAAATAAATTTACGTCGTTTTAATAAAGTTTTGCTGATGAAGGGACAAAAAATTGAATTTTCTTGATAAATTAAAATTGTTTAAACACATTAAAAAACTATAATAAAAATATTTGTTTTTTTTTGTTTTTGTTTTGTTTTGTTTGTTTGTTTGTTTTTTTTTGTTTGTTTTTTGCTTTTTTGTTTTTTTTGTTTGTTTTTTTTTTTGTTTTTTAAATTGTCGTTTCAAAACATGTCAAATTTAGAAATATATATTGATAGTTTCTGTATAATTTTCTGTAGGACGCAGCATCATATTTCCTAAATTAAGCTACCAGTATATAATACAGAGGGACAGTGAGCAATGAGCTCACAAATAAAATGTCTAACGTTCTTGTAATGAGTAAAGTGGCAATGTCCATAATTTGCCTTTGCTGTACACTAAATATACATGTAAATAAAAGTCCGATCAAAAGTTTATTAAATAGGAGAAGCACAATGGCACTGTGTAATAAAGATTTTGTTTAAGTCTCCTGAAATTTTACTCAATGATATTGGAGGAGTGAGTTGTGGATTAAAGATGGTATGTACCCCCCAATATTATTTTTTTAAAAATGGCCATTTGAAACCCCAGATAGGTGTCTTACCAAAATGTAAAAAAAAAAGAAAGAAAGAAAGAAAGAAAGAAAAAGGAGGTACACAGGTCTCGGTAACTTTAATTTAATGATAAAGAAAGACTTGAGATGGATACCCGTCAGAATATGAAAGAAAGTGTTCAGTTTTGTTATTGGAAACATCAAATATAATACATGTACTGGTATGTCTCATCAAAATGTAAAATAGGAGATGCAGACACTCACACTATGTAATAAAGATTCTGTGTATGTTTCAAGGAAATAAGGGTAAGACAAAATCATTTTAACTTTTGTATGTTTACTACGTTGTCAATTACCCCCCTCCCCTTCAAAAACGAATGTTTTGTGCATTTTTTTTTTAAAGGAAAACACCCAGTTTAACTGATTCAGCTTGTTAAAAGGAAAATACTTCGATCTTTTCTTACATAAACTTTCGAAGGAAATAATTTTCCGTTGAAGATATATAGATTATTTACACGAAGGCATTTAGGAGAGCATCGTCGGAAACCCACGGTCGATCTGGTTTCCGACGATGTTAGGAGAGGTGTCACTCCAAATGTATGGTAAGAGTTGCTTCTCTTTATATGAGCTTGAAACCAGCATGGAAAATACATGTATATTTTGTCATATACGCATGGAAAAAAGGAAACGAACATAATAAAAACAAAATTATAAATAATTATGTCTTTGATAAAAGCTATTTTCCCCAAATATTTGCATGTATCATGGAATTGCAATTTTGAAACAAATATAAATGAAGAAAGAATGATAAATTTAAAAAAAAATCAAACCCATTATAAGCCTGTTACTTGAACATCATCCGATCGGGCAGCGAAAATTCTCGTGGAATATCAAAGGAAAAATGAATGAAAACTGCTAAGAAATAGATAAAATAAGGTTGTGTGCATTAAAAACGAGAGAGAGAGAGAGTGTGTGTGTGTATGATTCAGTTAGAATATGCCTGACTCATTTTCGCAAGTTAATCTTGAAAGAAGCATTTACAATATAAGAGATATAAATACGGTAAGTTTTTTCTCTCTACTTGGTTTTCACATTTAATAATTGATTCAAGTTTTTAATCATGTTAATTTGAAAAATATATCAGAATTCTAGAGATACTTTCAGAAAACGCTTTTGAAATTTTTATGTTAACTTTGTAAGATATCGTTAAGTTTCTGAAAATTTCACCTGATAAAACAATAAGATGAAGACGTGTGGTTTTTGGTTTTCAGTAGATATTTCGCAGTATTTTTTGTCTTGATGTATGTCTAATGAGAACTTTTGTACGGTGAGTGATTCATGTTGTGCCAATTTAAAGATTACCTTATTTGGTCATCAACTATATTTAAAACAAAAAATAAAATTTTATATATATCTTCTGATTTTGTATCAAATAAAAATAAAATTTACACAAATGCTTTTTAAAAAAAAAAAAAAAGAAAGATTTTCCGTATAAGGTAAGAAGTATTAAAACGGCTTTTGAGGAGCTCTTCTTCCCCTTTTAGGACCTCCCTGACTTCTTCCGCTTGTTATCACGTGACATCACAGTCCCACCCTTACTACTAGAGCACAGACTGAGACAGTCCTAAAACTTTCAAGATGTCGATCCGACAAACTTTAACAATTACAGATGATCAACTGGTCGAGTTAATGGAAACATTTAACACGGTAAGTAACCATTTATTTCGATTGTCACCAGATATCCTTCGTAGCGGCCATGACTGTGTTTTGGAGTTCCCTTGCTCCAGGCCGGTGAAAGGGGGTAGCCATATTTTTTGTTGTCATTCTTGTGATGTCAAACGTAAACTTTGGAAATTCGAGATGGCAAGAAGTTGTGTTTTTACATCATACTGTATTAAACTCAAAGAAACCGTTATCACAACTCATGCCATTTCACCGGTAATGTAATCTGAAAGTACAAATGTTTCAAGTCTGGATTTTATTAATGAATAAAGCATGGAGTTGGTCTTTTGTTGCACACTTGCTGTGAACATTTGCAGATATATATTTTGGCTTTTCCAAAGTGTTTGGGGTTTTCAGTCATCTGGTTTTGGTATCTTATCAGATCTTTCATAATTTGCAGTAACTAACATGCATGTCAAGCAAGAGGCATGACAATGAATAAGTACAGGTGATTTCTGAGAAAAAGAATATTGTATACCCCTTTATGAATTTTAAAGTACTCTATCCTTAATTGCCATTCATTTCTATTTGAAAATGGTGTTAGTTGTATGAGTTGGACTATATTCTCAATTAGACAAGTAACAAAACGCAGATTTGTAAGGTTTGTTACATAATGTTAATCCTTTAAATGTCCATGATTTCTACATATTTTAACTTTGTCCTCATAATCACTAAAACATTGCGTAACTGAATGTAATGTAAAACCCAGTATCTCTTTAAATAATTCAATAATAATAGATTTATGAAAAAGAAACTTCATGGATCATTGATGTTGGGCTAAATATGTGTATATATACAGATAAATGGAAAGTCTATACCTGTCAATAATGATGGATGCTTTTTTGTCAGTAACAAGGTGTAAAGGTGACCCATGCATGTATATGTCTTCTGACTCTGAGAAAACAGATGTACTGTCTACACCAGGGCTAAACACGTACATTAAAAATCTGATCAAGGCAAATAATACATTTATTGTTTATCAAGTGATCTTTCTTGTTAGAGGCAGTTACATTGATTTGCACATGTGTTTTGCGCATCTACATGTACATTTAGTATACTTGCACTATTTGATCAGAGAAAATTATTGTAAAAACTATATTGAATGTCTATGTTTACTGACTTGTTGGATAAACACCATTTCCCTGTAGTTATTTCCCTTTCCCACATTCTGTATTGTATTTTAATTAGCTTATAAGTCCACAAGGAAATGACACACTAAGCTTCTTATTTGTGTGAAGTTAGCAGGCTGAGAGAGGGAAGATAGCTTTACGTAATTATTTTTTCCCTCACAGAATAATAAGTTAATAATCTTCAAGGAAATATTTTTTGTGACAAGGAAAAACAAAATTTCTATGCATCAATATAAACTACTAAAATAGGAAACAGAAACAATGAAATATGTGGAGATCACGAACCGTACTCTAGCTCAAAATCCCATTAAACTTTACAAAACTGGATCAGAGCAAACATGGACCTTCATTATATCAGAGGTGGGATCAGGTGCCATGGAGGAGTGAGCATCCCCTGCAACAAATTTCCATACCATGTTAAGCCAGTTGGAAGGAGGGAGGGGATATTGTTCAGACAAGCTAAAGGAAGAACTTTCCTAAAAGTATCAGAGAGAGGATGTTTGAGTTCATAATAGGTGCTATATTGATGCTTGTGTCAGTGATTTGCCTGCATCCTGATTCCATCCTTATGTGTTAACAACATTGCATTGATTTCCATATTGTATAATAGTTCTATATGATAATTACATCCTGTATTATAATTTATGGATTAATTCGATTGTGAACATGTCCTTCCCATTGTAACATTCTTTACATTTACAAAGTAAAAGCAAACTTTTTCATTGCAATGCATAAAAGTTCAACTCTGACATATATTTATGATATTAGCTTTCTTTCAAAAGCTTGTCATAATTTCATATAAAAGTACGGGTAAACAAATAACGCATGAAACTTTATTTGTCCTTTTAACACCCAATGGAAACCAATTCAGGTAAATCATGAGAGATAGAATTTGTCCAGGCAGCAAATGCAATAAATTCCCCAGACATTCACTCATGGAGTGGTTGTATTGGTGTACTTGGAAGCAAGATGACAGCGGACAAACAGAAGGGTCTCCGAGTGGTAAAAAACATTGACACAAGGTTAGCATGGATCGTAAGATGACCACCGTCAGACAAATGACAGGTAGCCCATCACTTTGTATCGAAGACAGCAATCGTAAACTCGGGGAGGAACAAACTTATTCCAGGAGGTTTGTCTGTTTGGTTTGCCTGCCATTAAGAAGTCGTATGTTTGTCGAGTTTGTCAGTGTAAATTTGGTGAATTCCTATGTGTAGGAGAGGGTACAGTGATGATAGCCTTACCTGTTAAGTAGGTGTGGAGAGAAAAACTCAGAATATGGACATGTTAAAAGGTTGTGAAGATTTAATCAGATACTGGGTCATAGAATCAGTAGAAGTAGAAAGAATTCACTCTTTTACAAAATTAATGAACCACTGCTCTTAATGACAGAATATTTGTGGTCCTATTAATGTGTTAAATCTACAGTTGTCCCAATACACACAAGACAGAAAGTTTACCCATTAGCAAGAGTTGACAGCTATATTAATAAAAAGTCAGAAAGGAAGAGCAGGTTTTTATGTTGTTAGTCAGCCCGCGGGCTGACTAGTTATGGTACGAAGAACTTCAAATGCGCTTGCGCGTTTTGGAATTCTGGGAGGTAGTTCTGCAGCAAATAACTCTAGCTAATTTCATTTCAGTAAAATCAGTATAGATTAAACAAAGAAATCCCTATTTAACACCACGGTAATCTGTAAATTTAAATTCAACTTAAATAAGAAAGTCATTTATGCTTATTTGTTTCTAGAACCTTTCTGTACAATCCTACTTCACAGTTTTTAAAACCTCGTTCGCAGTAATTAAACTGGTTCGCATCTGATCGTGAAATGTGTTCTACGCAGTTAAGCATACAGTTGTATGAATTCATATCGCACAGTGTTTGACGCGTTAATTGAAGGTCTTTTGTAAAGTGTGTTGAAGTTATTTTATTTATGTATTTAAATCTACGACATAAACATTGGTTTAATAGAGATTTTGAAGTTTTTCAGTTTTTATTAATTTTACTTTCGTTTTCATTAATAACATCATTTCGATCCCGATGCAATTTAGTGAACTGACTTGTTAGCGCATACAACGGATACTTCGAGAAGAGACACAACTGGCTGAGCTTGCTCGTTTGTAATGTCCCCCGCTGGAAGTGGAGGATATTATTTTATTTCGGTCTGCCTGTCCTTCCGTGCCCCTGTCTGTAGTTCTGTCTGTAACACTTTCAATTCCTTGAAATATTTCGAGAAGGCCTTGAGCTTTTGTTGTAAAATTTTACACAACTTACTATGGAAAACCCCTCTTGATTTTGAGGTAAAAAAGTCAATGGTCAAGGTAATGAAATCAAAATTATGTCTGTTTGAACACTTTTGTGTCCGTGCAAAATCTCGATAAGCCCTTGAGCTTTAGAAATGAAATTTTCCAGCACAACAACCTATGCTGAAAGGAAGACACCTATAGATTTATTTTGACGTTCAAAGGTCAAGGTAATAAATTCACATCTCTGTGTGAGTGCGTGTAAAACTTTCATTTCCAGTCAATATCAAAAGAAATATTTTTGCGTTTTACAATCAAATTTTATACCATAACTCGATCCACCATATGGCCCCGTGACCAACTCCCACCCCCTCTTTTTTTTTTTTTTCTTTTTTTTTTTAATAGATCTGCGCAATCCATGCTTTTTTTCCTAAGTGGGAGACACAGATTCTCTGAATTAGGTTTGTTTAGTGAACATGGTGAATGAAACTATTTATGTTGTGGCAATCAGATTAATGGATTTATAGTTTTCTTACGTTATAGAGGTTTGATAAATGAATTTCTTTACCAGTCATCGTGTTGTTTATTTTGTTTCAATTCTACTTTTTTTAAGTTTCAAGTTTAAATTCAGCTAGCTAGGTCAAATTAAAGTGGTGATAGTTAACAAACTTAAATAAAAAATACCCGTGTCTTAAATTATGCAAAAATAAGCCTAAACAAAGCTTACATGTTACCTGTTTGAATGAAATTTTTCTAATTCAAAAGTACTAGAAAATGTACGTACTTGTTACATGTATTTAAGTGGCCCTTTATTGATATTCTCAATTAAGGGTTCAGTATGGCTGTTACTTTATCGCAGGGGCAAAGGTGTCTTTGTTGTTTAAACACAGTTGCACTGAGTGATTCAACCTGCAACATGACAACTCTAACAGGGTGATAGTAAAGCTTACGAGGTTTGGTGGCCGCGGGATTGTTAAAACTGCTATGTCCCCTATCCTCATAAATTAAACTCCTTTAGATCCGATGAGATTGGTTTATAATTTCATGGAATTATGTTGTGTGAAATTGAACTTAAATTATTATTACATTAAATCTGCCTTTTGATTAAGAGACCAAACGTGCAATACCGGTATAATGCATTTTTTTCAGTACCGTAGTATTCTTCAAAACATTATCACAGATAAGAAAAATCCACTGGCTGACTCTCTAAGCTTTTTTTAAAAGCTAAACTTGTATACTGTAGTTTTACTGTTTGAGAGAGGAAGATGTATGTAAACATGGAGACAGGATACAGGAAGCTGTACGGTCAGTGGTTTTCCGTTTCCTTTCTGACGCTACTCTGGTCAAGTGGATTCGATTAGGGGGATGCGCATATTGTGTCTTATAGATGGGTCAAGGGTCTGAGTTGTTAGAACTCTTGTTTTCAAGTGTGTGATTTTTTCCTTGTCTTCATCCTCTATTATAAAACTTCCTGTCATATTGTGGGCTAGAGACATAATAAAAGAATGATATATATACACTGCATAACGTAAATATAAACTGATGCACTTTGTCAGAGTTGATTTTAAATCATCTTGTTTTTCTGTTATTTTGATATTACAGTTATAAAGTACA